TTCGGAAAGAAAGTGGGGTCTTCTCGCTAGAACTTGCAGGAGGAACGTGTGTGTTTTGACTGGGATTCGGTGTGTGTTTTACCACCTTCATGTTCCGTTGGTGAATTAACCATTTGCGAAAGCATTTTTACTTGCCAACGAACTTAAATGTTGTGTCGTTAAGGAATCTAAATCGACAGCAACTTTCCGAAATGGAATTTTAATCTTGAAGCCGAAACACTCATCGATACCGATCCGATCCACGATATAACGCCTTTTACATTACTTGCTGTTTGACGAAGTTTTTTTTGTTTACTCTCTACTTAGAGAGTCCTTGTATTGGATAGGAGTCCTTGTACTAGATAAAATCCTTGTACCGATCTACGTACCGAATGGTGTTATTGAGGATGGATTGAACTTGGGAAGTTAGGCGACAGAATATTGCAGAGCAGTGCCGTAAAATCTAGCATTGCAACGTTACGATCTTGCGGGCTAAGCCGAACTCTTCTAATAACCGACACCTTTTTATTGCACTACGTAGAAGACTTACACCAGGACCCAGAGGAGCCATTCAGACGTAAATATTTGATCCTGTGGTGATGTAAATGTTATAAATTTATCTGTTTGTATTGAATTGGACCCACATTGTGGTAATTGGCATATGCACTAAAGCCAATAGTAATACTGTTAATTAGTCAGCTTGGAATATTGGGATACGATAATTGATAATCACTTAAGTATTACTCCCATGTACGAAGTAATAACCAGTATGTAACGTACGAGCTCGTAACGACTTGAACCACTTCATTGCCCCCAAGCTACCGATTAAGGGATTGAAATCACTTTATCTAATTCATCACTTGTGCCACGGTAACAATATTTGTGTTCTGACCCCAGAGATTCTGGTGGGTTTTATTCCGTATTTCATGGGGGAAATTTTTTTTTTGTAAATGTTTTATGTTTGAATTAATTTGGAGTATTTATTTTTTAAAGCCTCATAGTTGGACCTAAGTTTTTGGGATTCCCATTGGGGAACCGAAGTTTTGGTTGTGCTTTTATGAAGGTGCAGAGCACCCCAATAAATAATTATTTTTGTGGGATTATAGTTACATATTTTTCAAGCTAAGCTACCTTTCCTAGTTCGGGTAGTGATAAGCGAAATTGGACGAATTAGGTGGCGCCCAAAAGACTCTACCAGAACCACTAACCGTAAGTAGAGAAGATTGAGTTGAAATCGAGGATAGCTACGGAGCTATTACCAATTGTATTGAATTCTTTTACCTACGTCCCTGTATTGTCTTGCTCTCTCCGCTGTTTACCCTTTTGTCAACAGAGCTAGCTGGCCGGTCAGCGGCGTGTGTTTTTATTTAAAAAGCACATGGTATTTTTTGTAGCGCCTTGCCTTTTGCAGCTCGCGCGTTATAACTCCAACGCATAATCCTCCAACCAATTGTTTCTTTTTGGTTACAAAGAAAGAAAAAAAAACAAAAGTTACACTAAAAGGACGCCAACTTTTGTGCATTTTCCAACTCATGTTGGAAGGCGCTATTATGGCCACTATCTCCGTCAGTCCGTTCGTCCGAGGCCTTCACTACTCCTACAGTTGTCAAAATATTTAGTTCGTTTTTTTTGCATTCGATAGTTCAGCCACCTGGGCCAAGAAAAATCTTGACGATTAATTTGCGTATGTGGAAACTGTCCAATGTCAACTTTCTTATTTATAGTGATATTCTTTGAAACTTTAACAACAGCTGCTTCTAGGAAAGACACGCTTATCGCATATTTTAAACATCAGGTGTGAGCATGCGCAAACTGCGCAGTTTCTTATGTATAAGAATATTTATGCCATTACTTATTTTCTTTTGTACACATAAATAGTCCGTTGCATGACCTTTCGCCAAATATCGATCAATTCATGGAAAATGCGCTAAGTTACTGAAAGCGAAAACAAGCGGCTTCGAGCTTACGCGACACGAGCGTCAACAAACGACTCACTGCTCGGTAGTAGCGAAGTGTAATATAGGCCAGTCATCTTAGACAATAAAAAAGGCAAACATCGCAAAAAATGCGGTAATTCTGAATATTTGTCAGGTTGTTAGAGTCGATAAGACTAGTGTGAATCTAAGTTTGCAGCTTCGAAAGACTTGTGCTAACTTCAGGGTGGTCGAAAACTCTCGAAATTTTCGGACTTCTCGTGGTTTTTCGTTTATAACATTCATACGGTACATCCTAGCGTTGTAGTTTAGAATAACACTTTTAAAATAGACAAAATTTGATACAATTTGAGTCCAACCGGAGCTCTATAGGTCTAATAGATCCCAAGTTACGCTCATTCAAATGTTGGTAATTTTTTTTAAAAAGTGCAAATTTTAAGTTTTGGTCATCTTGCGTGCAAAATACCGGCTAAAGGAGTTATCCTACGAAGAAGTCATGAGAAAAGGAAATCAGGGAAATCGTGACCAGCTACATCAGGTATACATTCAAGCATATTGGAAAAAATGTGGCAGTGGTGTTTGACGGTTACCCTCAGGATGGTGAAGGAAGAAGCACAAAAACCGCTGAGCGAGTACGCCGGTATGCAGCCTCTCCTTGTGCCGACATTTTACTTGAGCAGTCCACCCTAATAAAGACGCCACAGGAGAAAATGTTGTCAAATGAAAACAACAAGCGCCGCTTGATCGACTTCCTCTGCTCTGGATTCGAAAGTGAGGGTATACAAATCAAGCGCGATGTGGAAGACGATTGTACCATAGTACGCACAGCATTGCAAAAGAGCAGTTCATATGACAACGTCATCATAGTTGGGGAAGATGTGGATCTTCTCGTTCTTTTGAATGCCTTGGGTTCCACTGTTAACAACGTTTTCTTTCAAAAAAGTGGTAGGGGTGACTGCGGCTGCCAGCAGTTTTGTTCAACATCATTCAATCGTGGCGGCGTGCCTTTTCCTCCCGGATTGGTACTGGTCATACATGCCTTAACTGGTTGTGATACAACCTCTGCCATTTTTTGGCAGGGCAAGACAAAGCTACTCGGCACATTCGAGAAAAATTCTCACCTCATTTCAGTAGCCAGTACCTTCCTGAACACACAAGCCACCCACATTGAGGTAGCCACAGCTGGTGCCAAGTGCCTGATCGCGATGTATGGGGGAGGAGCCAGCGATGACCTTCACACCCTCCGCTGCAAAACCTTCGTTCGCAGAGCTGCGAACGCCAAGGTCAACCTTGCTCGTTTGCCACCCACTGAAGACGCAGCTGCTCATCACGCGTACCGCATGTACCATCAGGTGCAGACGTGGTTGGGAGCAGACAAAGACCCAACCGTCTGGGGCTGGACCAGAGATCATCAAGGGCTACTTCCTGTAGCTTCCACGAAGCCTCCTGCATCCACTTCTCTTCTTCAGTTCGTATCCTGCAGGTACCGGAAAGGCTGTAGAGGGGGAGCGTGTTGTTGTATAAAAGCAGGGCTCAAATGCTCTGCTCTCTGCAAGGCATGCCAAGGTTCAAGCTGTCAGAACGCCCCAGTCGTTATGATAGATGACTCGGAGGAGGAGGAAGATGACGCCAATCCAGAAGCCGGATATATGTCCCAATCCTCACCCCAGGAGCCCTCAATTGCACCTGAGCGTGAGCCACAACCTGGACCTAGCACGAGGCGCAGAATGTAGTCCTCTTCCCTCGCCTTTTTCTTTTTGTATTTACGAATAATTTCTATAATAATAAAATTTGGTTGGGAAAATGTCAAATTTTATCTCCTGTGTATTGAATATCTTCTAAATGAACAGGCAGATCGTAGGGCTCCCAAAGTTTAAAATTCTATTTTCCCTTATTTTCGTTTTTTCAAGATAACTGGTGAACTATGGAAGCTACAGGCCTCTTTCTGCGCTTAAAATGAATCTAATTAAATGTACTACAACTCCTTTTCTCATGACTTCTTCGTAGGATGACTCCTTGAGCCGGTATTTTGCACGCAAGATGACCAAAACTTAAAATTTGCACTTTTTGAAAAAAATGACCAACATTTGAATAAGCGTAACTTGGGATCTATTAGACCTACAGAGCTCCGGTTGGACGGAAATTGTAGCAAATTTTGTCTACTCTAAAAGTGTTATTCCAAACTATAACGCTAGGATGTACCGTTTCAAAGTTATAAGCGAAAAACCGCGAGAAGTCCGAAAATTTCGAGAGTTTTCGACCACCCTGAAGTTAGCACAAGTCTTTCGAAGCTGCAAACTTAGATTCACACTAGTCTTATCGACTCTAACAACTTGCCAAATATTCAGAATTACCGGATTTTTTGCGACCTTAGATGTTTAAAATGACTGGCCTAATAGTAGTTGTTGCGTTTTGCGATTAAATATTTAAATGGATGCAGAAGACGCGTATTTTTTAGAAACTCCTTACAAAAGACGGAAAAGAAGATTGTGTTGGGTAAACCCTGTACTGGAAAAGAGGGCGTGTCTCAGCGAATTCAATCATCTCCATCGTGAATTAGAGAACCACTCTCCGAAGTTTTTTGATTGTTACCTACCGAATGGGTCCTCAGACCTATTTATACATCCTCAATTCTTATAAAGGCGATCATCAGGAAAGAGTATAACTAACTATTTTAGCCAGGATTTTAGCTGAATGGTGTTTGCAGACAGACGCGGATACGAGCCCAAATCCCATCCTGTTCGGAGCTGTAGCGCGCACACATTTACGCCCATAGCCGCCCGCTCAAACTTGCTTTCAGTGGTCGAGGGGTCTACCGCGCGTAGTCGCGTGCTGACGCTCGTGTCGCGTAAGCTCGTAACCGCTTGTTTTTGCTTCCAGTAGACGACCAGCCTTAAGGCGAAAGCCTTTTTCCATATTTTAACATTATAGGGACAGTTACCGATATGGTACCTAGTACTTTGAAGCCAATCATACTCTAAGTTCGTAATTATTAAATAAATTTTGTACAAGCTTATACGAGGAATTTTATTGTCAGTCTCACTACGACCTGGTAGAATATATTAATAATTATCGCAACCTCTACAGGAATCGAATGCGTCCGAGGAACCCCCGCCTACACAGCGTCAATGGACCACTCCTTCAAGTGCTAGCGAGGTTGGTACATCTCTATCATCGATTCTAGAGCGACGTCTTCCTACCAGTCACTCAGCTCCATCGACGGGCTTCTCCGAATTAACAAGTTCACGTTTACCAAGAGCACAGAATCCCACCATAACGTTATTACAGAAAGCGAGAGGTAACAGTACGCACCTATTGTGCATCATTGTATCTGATTAAACTTTCATAATAGAGGGCCATTTACCACGTGGTGCGTCATATATACAGACTTATAGTGATAAGAGTAGAGATGACAAACATCTACCCTTAGGAACAGTACAAGTTTGTAAGTTGTTTCGTTGCACCAGTATCGTATTTCTAATAGAATTGTTATAGCATATCACACGAAGGACGATTCGAATCCTGAACGACAGAAGAAAATGGCAGATTTAAATCCCGCAAGGTACGAAAGGGGCATTGGACCAGTAGCAAAGGATGGAATGCCTCTAGTCTTGAGATCGGTATGTCAAAATTATAGCACTCTAACAGGTCTGTAACACTTAAGAAATTTATAGGAAGTAAAAGATGGAAACCAATCCAGATGGTACAAAAAGATGTATGACACAATACACAAACAAAAACCTGAACGTAAGTAACCTTGAGCACTACGTTAAGGGTTCTCCTTCACATTATCTGTAACAATTTTCAGGGGAGTATGTAACGGTCCGGTATAAACAACGTAGAGGTATTGTTTAAAAAAAAACGCTTGGTGTGTGATTGACCTTCACTGTAGCGATCATGAAAGTTTGTTCCAAAAAGTTGGCACTTTGATATTTTTTGAACAAGCTTAATCATTAACATAGCACTGACTGGCTTTGCACTAAATTAAGGTTTTTATTTAACAGTTCACGTATCGCAACCAATTGCACTGCTGTAAGCATGAAACAATACCATCGTATATGATACGCGAAACAGCAAATAGAGGTAATCCGTTCTACCGTAATTCTTTGCAATTAATTAAACATTCTGGAAATTGTAAGTCAATGAATATGGATTTGAAGGCAAATATTGGGCGTGGTAAATAGATTTAAAATTAGAAGGTAGTAGTATTAGTAAGTGGGGCAGTGAAAAGGAGCTTGACATAATCTTCATTTAAACGAAATCTTCCACAATTGTGAGGTTTTCTTGGTTCTTCAGAATGTCTATACGTATAGTTTCCAGTGCATGCTGCATTTTTCTAGGTACTGCACTCGAGTAAAGCGTGGTCTTATATACTTATAAAAGTGTAGTCCTATGCGTTCGGTATGGGTGTGAGATATAAAGGGTAGAAGTCGGTATTATAAAGCCATACTTAACTATATTGTCAGCTAACAGTGTTGTTAAGGCATGATGACGATGTTTTTGCAAAGAATGATTGTAGAAGTTGATTTAGCCTTTTGTACACATGGTACGTACCTTGGATCTTCAGGGATACATAGGTCATCTGCGATCTTGAACCTTCATGTCACTTTCCATGACTGACCTTGTTTTTTTGCTAGAGCTTCTTGTTCTCCTAACTATAAACCCTCGATTGTTCAGTGGATGCTTTTGAACCACATTTACTTCTCTTGTCATTCCAGATAGATGATAATTATAGGTGCGAGGACCACACTCGCCGTCGCGTCGGTGAATGAATGTTCTCAAAGTGTAAAAGTGCTAGGAGTCGATCTAGATGTGATGTGGGCCAGTCTTCTATGAATCAGATATCTATCATATCTTCAAAATTTTGAAATGACATGTTTCTACCGTCAGCCATTTTAATTGATTGGTATCAGCTAGGTACCTTAATTACCGTGAATGCAATAAACAAACCAAAATCTCCATGCATATATGGTGTACTTTTAAAGCAGTAAAAAAATAAGGTTTTCATGGCTAAAATTAAAACAAGTATAAATTGTGCTCATGTGCAGATAAAGCGCATTTTTTTAAACGAAATAACTTTTGTTTTGACATCACCAATGGATATATTTTTAGCAGACGTCTCAATCGCCCTTTGTGAGTACCTTTTCCGACAATCCGTTCTTGAGGTATAAGGGAATATACCCGATCACGTTAAGAGGTCGAGGAGGAGGGCTAGGGCAAAGGTTGGTAGAAATTAATTCCTTTCGTTGAGACCTCGCTCACATGTACCTCCGTCAAAAAAGTTGGGGGGGGGGGGCATTTTTTCCTCCAATGCAATACCTCCCTTACAACGCGAGGGGGGTAAAAATTGAAGAAGGAACAACAAACAATAACACTTTGCTTTTAATTCTTCTAATGAACCCACTTTCATGTCTCTGACAATGATTGAGAAGGCTACCCGTGAATCGCTATGAACTTGTGTGAGTGATGTTGTTCGTATCAATAACTGTCGTTCAATAGTTGTTCTGGTAGTAGTTGGCTGTGGTTTTCTCTTTCCAGCATGAACGTAGGAGCATTGATCAGTTCATATGATTTGATGTCAACGATCAATAAGAGTGTACAGACAGTTAACATGCGGAAGACTAACGACTGTTCTGTAATAATTTTTGCAAAGTTAGACAATCAATACGTTTGCTGTCCCAACTGCCAAACACAGGAGATCAGGTGGGAACAATCATCAGACACTCGTTAGGTACTTCATTTTCCGAATTCGCTCCGTAAACTGTTCAGCGCTGGTTTTTCTATTACTGCTTAGCCCTAGGATCATCTTTCCTACATACACTATACCTACAGGGTGACCCATTGTAAAAGATTCACCCTTTAATTAATAACTGGAGAACCAGATGTAATCTTGTCGTACAGCTTTCACTATACCTACATCTGAATACCAAGGGGGACCTTTTATTCTTACACATTCTGACTTCATCTGTATAAATAAATCGATAGTCGCGTTTTACAAAGTTTCATTTCAGTCCATAGTTAGCCAAACATATTTGAACACAGGATCCGTAGTTCTGTGTATACTATTTGTCACAGAAATTTTTAAAGTATCGTGTCCAGAGGAAAACAGCCGCTAACGATTCCAGTAAATAAACTGATCACAAAATATTGTATTCCTTCTGGTAGAAAAATCTGAAAACAGTAGAAGTGATTGAAAAATAAGAATATACCAAATGAAATGAAAATTCGTTTCGGACGTCACAAATTCAATACAAATGTGTAACTTACTAGTTTACTTTCCAAACCTTACAGCTCGTGTAAATATATAAAATTCTTATTGTTGTTTTATTTCCATTTTAATTAATTAACGAAAATAACAATATTACACCTGCGCATTTGTATTGTAAACTAGGTAGATTCCACAATTTAAAGAGCCTGCGCATGGCATTTTCTTTGATATGAATGTTGTACAATAATAAGCTTATAACATAGTGGTTGAGTACCTACATAAGAACCTTGGCTGAAATCTAAATATTGATCTTCAGAGTTCTTATCTCACAATGTAATATTTATTATTTACTTAACGTTGCCTAAGCTTGAAGCAAATTGGTGTGGTTGCTTCTTTCGATACTTTTTATCTTTATGTAAACTACAACATCCCTTTTTCGTTTATAGCTCGATATCCATATGCGTCGGGGTACTTTTCGGAGCCCGAACAACATAGCGCGTTTAGTGCTTATTATTATGACAGCGATGGAACCACATCCGACAATAAATACGCCACGTTAGATCGACGACGAATTCCCCCCAGCAGAGATAAAGAAAACGAATTTATGTCTTCCACTTTACCACGACAAATGGATTCGGTTAATTTGTAAGCGTATTAGTTCGTTCTCCGCTTATTTTTGAAATATTATTTTCCAGAGAAATAATACGATCTGAAGCCGAACAGGATGTTCACAGAAGTCCCCCGGGACGTATCGAAAATTATACCCCTGGGCGCTCGTCAATTTCGGATAAGGAAGCGAAACAGGCTAGTATTAATGCTTTGACAAAATACTAATCTTTCAATTTAATTGCAAATTTTTTTCCTCCTGGGCATTACCGTGACAATCACTTTTGCATTGTATACACGTTAAATAACGCACTCATTATTCATTTGCACCAAAATTAACACAAATTTGTATCCATGTTTTACTAACGCTACTTAGGTGTGCCTAGGGTTTATATGTTATTAACATTTTGAGACTGTTACCATTTTTTTTATTTTAGTGGTGGGACGAGGTCATGGATATATTTGACGGGGTACGCATTTCAAGTATATTATTTGATTATGTTGTTATTTACGTTGTATTAACATTATTAATACTAGTAGCGTCATTGTTAACATCAAAAGTTCCTAGCAGCCTATCCAAGGTTAATATGCGCAAAGTTAATTACCTATGTCTAAATAGAAGTTTATTACAAAAATGATTCAGTAACTTCTGAACAGATAGTGTACCCCTAACAATCAATATGGAACATACGAAAGCGGATACGCATCTTCCTCCATTGGATGCCCTTCTTATTCAATTCTGAACCAGTCGATGCTAGAGATAACTTAAAACCTGAGATAGACGGCGCATTATTTAGATTACTTATTCTTCATACTTTATTAATACCTACTCGTATTGCTGGTTGTAATGTGGTAACAAGACCACAATGCACCACGAATGTGTGCCTCCAATGACCGCCGTTTAGAATTCGCTTATGGTATGGGTATTTCAACAGAATGATTATACCGAGGATTATACCATAACTGAAGGTTTTTGCCTCATAAAGTTATCTAGGCGAGGAACCGAGATTGCTCGCAGTGGAGCGAACTCTGGCACTTTTAGAGAACCCGTTTTTCGATTCTGGTTGACCATGATTTTTCAGTACCGGATTTTTCGAAAACGACAAGTTATGATAGAAACAGGTTTTCGTAGATTGAATTCTGAAGAGATACGAATTGATTAAAAGTCTTCCTGGTATTCTCTTGAAGTTGGCCGAGATTTTTAGCAACCGGATAGGGGTAAAATGCAAACCAAATATAGTACACTGGAGTACTGAATTTTTTTGCTTTTGTGAAGTTTCCCGTGACTTTTCGGAATCAAATTTCCCAAAAACAAAAAGCAAAAGTAAATTTAAAACAATTTTTGGTAGAATGAATTAGATTGAATTGTGAACCAGCTTCAGATTCGATCAGCTCAGTTTTTACGGCCAACATGGCGGGAGTGATCGTGGGTACGCCAGTGAGCTCTTTAATAGCAAGGTGTCGATGTGTTTGTTTTCCGATGATATGGGATTAATCAATGCCTATATACAGTGCGTTTTAGACTTAGCATCTCTTATTTGGCGAGATACGAAATATCAGTAGAAGATCAGGAGATATCAGTATACGGTCTCTAATACCAAAGAGTAACTATAAACTCTTTGCTAATACTAATTAAAAGCATTACCAAAATACCAACCTTGTGTTGAAGAAGAAGGAAGAGACTTTCCTATTAAAGAGTCCTTTTTTTTTATAGATTTTGCCGCAATTCCTCATTCCTTCAATAGTCGATTTATTACATTTACGATTTACCTACTTTCGCGGCATTCGCCAACTGGTGATGAAAATTACCAACTCTTGTCAAAATTGCCAACTAGTTGAGTATTGGAGGGGCAGCCAGCCCCCCCCCTTGCCCCCCCCCATAGGTCCGTCGCTGACTTTTGTTTTTCAAATGTAATGCCTATGTTTCTGTACAATACTTGAAAAAAGCAATCAATTTACTGTACGATAACATTAAATATGCATAAGGTCGATTCTCACTTTCGTGCAAGGCACGTACTCGACACAGGCAAGGCACCGACTCGGCAAAATATCTATATTATTGAATCTTACGAATTTTTTGGGGTGTAATTCACACTATGCGAGCAACGACTCGGCAAGCTACGGCCTTTGCACGCAGCGTTCTTCCGAAACAATATTTGCCGGGCATGTACCGTGCACGTTCCGACAAGTGTGAATACAATCTGTGCAGGTCACCGACTTTAGTTCATTTTTCATAGTACAAGAAAGGTTGAAGGGTCAGCAAAGGAACACTTTTTCAGCGGAACAAGATGAGATGCTGATTGAATGTGTCCAAGAAAATGATTTCGGTCATAAAAGATACTTCTTATGCATTTTATGTACACAAAAACGTATTTTTCTTTTTCTGCAATATGTACTTCCTTGTTCTTCATCATCTAATATTAGACCAATTTTAATTAACGTCAAAGTTTCGAACATTTTTACAGTTGAAACTCACGTAGAAACTGCTTACCTGCGGCAAGCGTGTCGCAGTGTGAATTGAACTCAAAAAACTTTGCCCGTGCCGAGTATGTGCCGTGCCGGTTCTTTGCACGAAAGTGAGAATCGGCCTTTATGGTTGATTGTAAAAAAAAATTCGTGATTCAATGTTTAGAAAATTTATGAAATCTAGCATGTGCTATCAGGATGCCCGATGATTGTTGCATTACATGGGGAGATCGTATCGTGCAGTGCAGTCAGTAAGAGCCCCTTCTCACGAGGAGTGTTTGAAGCGTTGCGGAGCGGCGCCATTGGTAACGAAACATTACTTTATATGGGCGCCTTCGCACGGAGCGGCACTGTGGCGCGTCTGCGCGACTTGTAACGGACTTCCGTTACACAAACGCGTGCGGCTGGTAGCGTAACCCCTTCACACCGTGCGATTCAGAAACGCCACGCAAGGCAAGACAAGTTTGTTCCATGGAAAGCGCACGTAGTTAGTGCGATCGCCGCGGCGTTCTATTAAAAAATTGTGCCTAGAGCGTCGATCTCGATGCACTGGAAGTGATAGGTATTTTATTTCAGTTTCGCGCGCGTCATCTACCCGTGTCCGGTAAAACACGTCGTACGCCACTTGGTAGCGCTGCTAAGCGACTTAGCAGTGGTGTCCGCGACACAGTGGCGCTGCAAAGACGCGCCACATAATCACGTACCCTGCTACTCCGCCGCGCCACACTGCAGCACTTCTCAAACGCCTCACGAGAAGGGGCTCTAAATCTTTTAAATGAAACATTCAACAAGTTATTTACGTGTTTTCTGGTACACGGCATGCTAGATTTCATAAATTTTCTAAATATTGAATCAGGAATTTCTCCATTTTATATGTAGGATCAACCATATGCATATTTTATGTTGTCATACAGAAAATGGATTGCTCTTTTTCAAATATCGTACAAAAACATAGGTAGGTATTGCAAAAAGTAAGATAATAAACGGCGACTATGAACTTCTGAATGACGGCAACTTGGGAAGCTAAATCTGAAATGAAGTAATTCCGGAGACGCGAGGTGTGATCAAAGACGCGAGTGAATTTGGAAAACAAATGATGGTTGATTATTTTCGAGAGCTGTTTAATTTAAATGTAATCGGTAAACTCAACGATTGAGATGCGGTTATTTCTATAGGTAGCTAGTCCAGGGAAGACATAGAGGAATACTTCAATTTTAAATAATAGTCAATTAGGCGAATGGAAATTACTGGTTATGTGAACGACACGAAATTGTGACGTTATATAAGTATTTCAGAAATGTTTAAAGAGAGTTTCTTGTTAGGTGGTTTATTAAACGCAGGTAAAAATCACTGTAGAGGACCTAAATCGAGATTGTCAATATGAAGCTATAGGGATATTCACCGTTGTTCTAAAGCCTTGTCGTTGGAATTTCATTTTTAGCGCATTGCAGCCACTTTCTCTGTCTGTCCGCGCGTCTGTCTGTCCGTCCGTCCGAGGCCTTAACTACTCCTACAGTTTTCAAGATATTTAGTTCGTTTTTACATTCGGTAGCTTATAGCTCTGGCACCTCAAGCAAAAAAAAAACTTCACGATTAGTGTACGCATGCGCAGGCTCCGCAATATCAACTTTCTTATTTATTAATATATTTTGTTGAAATTTTAACCACAGATACTTCTAGTAAAGGCAAACATATCGCATATATCGCAAACTAAACCGTGCTAGGAAATTATATACTTTGCTTTCTTGATATATAAATAACTGGTTTAATTTAAAAATGCACAACTGGCAGTATGATCGATGATTGTTTGTATAGTAGGTCATGCACTCGGAGCTGCTGGAATTTTGTTTTTAACTTGACGCACGTAAATAATTTGCTGTGTCCCATTGGATATATTCCTTATGAGGAATTATATAAATTGGGTTCAGTGGATTGATCATGGACAATCATGTTAGGTATTGCACTGTTAATTACACTAACAATGGATGGGGATGTTGTGATTAACAAGACTTGTTGCTTATTTCAATGCACAGTGGCTGGACGACCATAGCGCTCTACCCAGTTACAACTATCTACTCTCCAGAGCCATCACTAGAAGTGTAAGAGGGCATGACGCTTATAAACTCTATACTATACACTCTTTTACTTACAGCTAATTGAGACCTTTTCACTTTTGTTGATCTTTAAGTTTCATTTTTTTTATGCTCATAATCAACCGCATTACGAGGCGTCTTTCCAGTTCGTAGTCGTTAGCATGCCGTAGTCAATACTAGTGTGATTTATGAGTATAATTGATTCATTCTTATTTCAGCACCTCGAACAGCAAAAGGGAACGCCATTGACCAGAGGACATATGAGTCAGTATGTATTTTTTACTTATTCTATTCTTTACTAAACGTATTCTGCATAAAAACTTTCTTTAATGGGAAGCCACGAGTTGAGTAGAAAGGAGTTAAAGCGTAAACCTCTCATAACTGTGCTACCTATTTATAGATGTGTACTAATCGCGTTGATTAGAAATACAAAGTTTCCAAATTACGCTACAACTTTAGATTCTAGTGAAATCATTCACCTTTGCCAAAGTTTCTTGTATTTTGTATTTAATTTTGTCCTCATTTTATCTTACTTGTTGCTATAAGTTGAAATGTTGCATGCGTGTACCTACCAATCCCGTTGATAATCTATTTACACGTTTGTTTTAAGAACACGAACTAAGACCCAAAAGAACAATGCTGTACGTATGTAAGATTATCTGTTTGCGGCAATGTACGCTGGTATCATAGTATTTTATGTCTTACTAACATATCATAGCACATTTTATATCTGTGATACGCGGTCATAAAGTAGGTACTTTATGCCCTAGCCTAGAGAATGAAGTATCACCCACGGTATCACCACCACAGTAACTTATTTATACTTAATGACAAAACAAACACATATTTGCAGGTTATTGAGGATTTAAAGGGTCAATAATTATTAAATGTCAATACCTACTAACTCACAAGATTGGCCTTATTTCGAATAGTTTCTGAAACTTTTTCCTCATTCATGATGAATTGAATTATTTAAAATTACGTTTGACGTTTGGATGCTTTCAACTTCGACCATTAAAACCTGGACTGCTATAACGTCCTATAATATTTAATATAAAACTTGAAGCCATAGGTACTTACATCATACAGATACAGTACTTATATATCTATGCTTGAAGCCAACATCTGCCGCGCTATCACTGGGTATGACTAAAATGAGAACTAAATCTGAGGCGCTAAATATGAAATTTCCAAGGACAAGTATATCCACACAAAATATTTATACGATAACTGTTTAACTTTATACCTGACGAATTAATTTATAAAATAAATAAATTTGAAGTAGATATGATTTTTGGATAATGATACCAATAGATCGTGGAATAAGCTTTTATTTAAAAAATGTACATGTTTATTGCAGCGTCTAACCATTCTCCAGGATAACGTGTATAACATGACGGTGAAGGTGTTACACAACGATTAAGATCCATATTTTGATGACCAGCGAGTGTTTAGACTTTCATCTACTGTCATTTCTTCAACTTGTTCTTGGTCGGAGAAACTATCGACATTTCATTTGATGTATTTGGGAAAATTGAAGGAACCGAATTTGAAGAGTAAATCTTAAATAAAATAAGTGACCGACCTTCCTAGTTTTTTGATTATCGAAAAAAAATAAATTTAAAGCAAAACAATTAAAAAAAAATTGAAATATTAAACTACAGGTTGCATAAATTTAGCGGCGGAGAATATACCGTACTGGAGAATTTGGAGCGGTTAAAAAAAATAAGGAGTACTTACGGCGCTTCGCTTATTGAGCAGAACGATTTCTTAATTGTAAATGTAGGGGTTTCAACCAATTGAACACACACGACATTAGGAATTATATCTTCTCCAAAACACAAGCTTTTCCACTTCTTCCTTTCGTTGTCTTCACAACACACCTTTTCCCTCCTTCCACGAACATTTTGCGTGCGCACGAAGTACAAGGACGTACACCAAACGGCAAGGAAAATCACATTATGACGAGTAATGACAAAACAATATTGGGAAATTTTTAATTTAAGGAAAACGTACGTTTATGTATGCAACAGAATTAGCCTTTTACTTATGCGAAAAATGTTTCTGTTTTAATATAACGTCCTTGTTTTTAAGGTTATAAACTGCATCACATTTTTTTACAAAACAACTTCAGCGTCTCATTTATAATTAATTATGTAAAAGTAGCACAACTAACTGACACAAATTTACATAAAATCACTTATAAAACACTTAAAATTAAATCTCGTAACATTGACGTGTGTCAAATTTCGTTTCACAAAACGCACACCGTCTTGTGATGGCGCTGTAGATGTTGGCTCTTAGACCATATAGTACATGGACTGCTATTCGCCCTATGCTTTCAATACAAAATGGATGGTCACGGATAGAGGGCACTGTAGTCGTGGGTATGTGAATCTCAGGGTAAACTAAAGTCGTGTAAACACCACTAGGATCGCTTAAAGAGCAGCTTTATAGTAACCGCGTAGTACGGGAAGCTTTAAATGCTCTTCATTATTTGCTATACGTCCACAAATAAGAATAAGTTTGCTTTTTTTTGTGATATCTAGGCGATTCATTAATTGACGTTTGTTAATTTATAGGTTGACAGTCTCAAATCGTGTCTCATCGGACAACTTCGGACAGACTCGTTTACCCTGAAACTCACATACCCAGGCGATGTCCTTGACCATATTTTAGTTACAATTAGCAGTCCATGTACTATATGGTCTAAGTGTTGGCTTCATAAATTTGACTTTGCTAGCAATCCAGTTATTTTTTCATCCAAGGGTTTCCAATCACATTAACAAATTCGGAACACGCACACTTGATCAAACATAATGAATTGTTTTGTAACCGAATATTTACTTTGACGAAGAAAACTATTTGTAAGACAAAATTTTGCTATTTGTAAGACAAAATTTTGTATGTACCACGGGCATAGGGCGATAGGAGCCAGTAATAATAATTTGTACAACTAGAGAAGAAAGTGGAGTTTTTCAACTCAAGAGTTGAAAACACATGCACTGGCATAACAAAGACTGACATAAAACCAATATTCGATCACTACATGTCAGAGATCGACTAATCGGATTGATTAGCAATATCGGCACGATGGCTCTTTTCGAAGACACAAAAAAACAATACATAAAATATATATCTCTGCGTATGTCAGTTCTGAACTTTAACCAGCCTCTGCTACGTCAATACGAGATTAAATATCGGTATCAAATATCAGTATCAAATATAGCACAGTACATATTCCAAACAAGTCACCCTGCCAAATATTAATAATCATAATCACACGGTTCAAATCAATAGTAGGAGCATAACTTTAAGTATCACATTACAACAAAACAAAGGAACATATTGTCGTGGCAAAACATTAGTATAAAGTAATTAATTCTCAATGCCAAGTGAAATATGTAAACAATCAACAACCTAACGTACGTCACTCGCCCCCAGATGAAGCACTCTATATATAAACAGTAACATATTCATGCAAACAAAAGCAAAATGTGCTGCAATAAATTCAATTATAAATTAAAATGTAGTTCTGCATGCTTGTATTGAATATCATCCCTAAGGGAACATACTGTATCTAAATATAATTAAAATCACGTAAATCGGTCAGTAATGCATGGCAGTAATGGTTGGCAGGTACCCCAGCGCTAGGAACAAAGTACTGTAAATTGGAAAACAACATATTCACGTAGACTCTCCATGCATTTAATTCAAAGTACGCTCAGAATAATATTACAAACGAGCAATGTATTTTAGAATACATTATTATCAATGACAATATATACTATAGTGGAATGTCGTTAATTTGGCAAATAATCTAACACGATCACACAATTACTAGAGGGATGCAATACATGTAAGGATAAATACTAGGTCACCTTTGCAATTGTCGAAGTTGCACTCACTATACGGAACGTAAAAATTACTTCTGCCCTCAACAAAAGCACAAATACCTCTGCCTAAATCTCCCCTTTTTAAGCAAAACCTAGACGAAAATTGGTAGTATCGACTGTGCTCCGAGACGTTGCGTCGGGTCGATAGGGATCATTAAGTTCCCTCGCATAGCATTATATTTGACACTTTTATTGTAAATTATGGCCCATTTCAATGTAGAGCAGAGGAGAAAAAAACACTTGTTCCACGGAAACGAAACAAAACTTTTTTTCGTCGTGCCAGGGTCGGTTTCGGGAGTATTTAAATCGAATTTTAGCGGGCAAATTCGCTTCCATTACAAGAGAGATTCTGGTTCTTTTAAGTTCTAAAAATGTGAGAGTAATCCAGTAGTTCTCAACCATCGCGACGGACGTGTTCAAGGAGGTCGCGAAATTCAGGGGAAAAGTTAAAGCAATTATTGTTATATTAAAAAAAACTGTCAAATTAGCTGAATTTATTACTTTTCTTATATAATAATATGATGTGGTATAAGTTTATTAATAAAGTTAAACGTGGTTGTTACGATTAAAAAAATTAAAAAACTATTGTACGCGTCGTATTATGCATTTACAAATTCTATAATTCATAGGGAAGTCGGCAAAATACTCAATCAAAGAAGCGGGTCGCAATGTCTAAAATGTTGAGTACCGCTGGAATAATTCTACTATTCCATTTCATATTTAGGTACTTACTTTGTGTGCTAAAAGGGGAGGAAACTGTTGCGTATATTGTCCTGTCCTGATATTTATAATTTATTTACCTAAGTGCATGATCATGATGTATGTTGTATAGCATCCTGTAAGTTTGAAGTACAGTACCACCATTACCGTCACACGCATTATATCAGCAAGTAATTTTCTTAAATTAATGTATTTTATGTTTCCCAATTCAAGCCCTTTCTGTTACTGTACCTATAGATATAGGATTGTCTTATTGTGCCAAATAACATCAACACATTTAACAACATTATAAAAATGTCTAATTTTTCTAATGATCATGTATCATTTAATAATTCGTTCACTTTAAAACCCGTATGCAAAAACATTCAAAAAGGAACAAATTTACATTAAAACGTAACATCTTTTTATTAGTAAAAGCACAAATTTGTTTTAGTTAAGGAAAAATAAAATGAACTTGTCGCTTATGCAGTTTGTTTTAATTACGTTTAAGGGCACTGAAAGAGTCTGGATATGAAAGCGATTCGACTTTAATATTCCGAAGAAGGGAAGATGCGTTACAACAATTAAGTCCGCTGGAGCAGAGGGAAGCGTATAAAGTAATTCAAAAAGGAGGAGATGTGCCGCTTCAAGGATTACGTAAACCTGCGCCCGAAAGGCCGAAAGGTATGTCAATTTGTATTTGTACGTTCACTTTTGTAGGTGAAGGTGTACTAATTAATGAAAATTCAGAATTTATGAGATTTTAATTAAAGTAGGTAGTACAACTAATTGGGTGAGGAATTTTTCCTTCTAACAATTAAAGGTTTGTGTTTCAATTTACCCATAACAACGCATGGCTTAGCTTAAATTGGTTTTGAACTATTCTAAGTATAATATCTGACTTTGGTAGTATGCTGAATTTGGACTCTCTAGTGTCTAGTCACGCAATTAAATCTTTCATGCACCTGATCAACACGCAATCCAAGTTATCTCACACACGTTCAGAGCTCCATTAAGAATAATAAATCACGGTTTTTATTTCGCAGAAGTCCAGGAAATCCAATATTTACCAATATCTCCAAGTGATAAGCGCATGAGAACTACCAAAAATATGAAACCTAATGAATTGGTTTGTTATCCGTTATCAGTTCCTCCTCATCCTCGCCACATTTTTGCCGAATACAAAAGAACCGCACCATCAACTGCATCCACCTCATCCTGCATGCTTAAACCGTCTACACCTTCTCCACCATCTCCTCCCAAACGTCGTTCCTCAAGAAACAGCAATACTATGAGATTGATTTCAAGAATCAGCGGTAGTTGTGAAAGAAGTCATAGTAGCAGGAGACACGAAACTTGTTTCGCTCCTACTTCAGAATTGGATAAAAGCAAAATCAGATCTCCTAAAGACAGTATTACGCACCGAGGTACAAGTAAACGGTTTGGAGATCTGGATTCGAAATTAGCCGTTCGAAGTGTCAGAACTGTAAGCGTTTCACCGTTGCGTACTGCTCTACACACAAAAACGTGCTTACCAAAAGGTAGTACCGAAAGCGGTATAAACACGTTATCTGCACGGTCTTCTTCCTGTAGTCCAACACGTACATGTTATTCGCCGATTATTCAGAGAAAACCCATAGCATATAAAGGGGGTACTTTCGGTGTTGACAAACGAAATATAGACCTAAAACTGCCAATAAATAAAAGAAGTGATACAATTTCAGAATCGACAGAGCTACTAAGCCCGACAGAAGTTAAAAAAGTGGTAACATCTAAAGAAATTACGAAACCATCGACGGCAACCTATAAAACAAGTACTGCGGTATACTCTTCTGTTAGGAATGGCGCAAAACCTACAAAAGATAACGTTCTGCCCATTCAAGTTGGTATTACACAAAGGGGGAGAGAACTGTTACGACCATCGCGAAGTCTAGCAACTTCATTGCTAAATTCCCCAATACCTAAACGATCTATTGGAACCCGAACCACAACTCCGTCTCCAATTTCGTCTTTATTTCGTTCTCACAGCGGCTCAAACGAATCGTTAAGGAAATATAAAAGAGAGAGTGCCACGGTCAAAGCACCAACTACTTCAAGAGCAAATAAAAACGGTACTACTAAGAAGTCCAAAGTACCGGAAGTTTTGGACAATGCAAAGAAATTAAAAAAGTCCAAAAAAGATCAAGTCAATGGAGAGATCGTGAAACGAGACAAAAAATACAAAACAAAAAATGGCGGTAAGCACGAAGATAAAGCAAATATAATGGTAAAATTTACACCTCCTTTGGAAAATGTGTTGCATTTTACTCGAGGCGAAATTCAAAAACAGAGAGATGCAATGGAGTCTCATTCTTTTTTCCAAAATTTATTTTGGAAGGATATATCTTCACCATCTGCTGTACCTTCGCCCATTCGTTCGTCGTGGATTGCGGAAAAAACTCGCCTGCTTTGTAGAACTCCGACTACCTTACCAGAACCCACAATTGGTGCTCTTAGAATATATTTGAATCACACAAAACCGGTTACCGAATCTAAATTTAAAACTTTAGATGCATCAATGGTACGCTCGCGATCCGTAAGCCCAAAGTCCGTCTCTTGGAATATCGATCAAATGGCCCATAAGGAAACAAAACACAGAAGCTATAGTTTGCCACCGAAGATAATACTTACAGAAACACGTAGACCCGTATCCCCAATTTCAACGAGAACAGTAATAATGAAGGACGGTGGCGAAAAAGAAAAAGTCGTCAGAACAGCTTCTCCCATTAAATTGGTGCTTACGGAAACATCTCGACCCATCTCTCCAATCGTAGATAGAAGAAGACGACGGGAAAGTCCCACAAAACCCCATTACACCTTTGAAAAGATTGTACTCACTGAAACTACTAGACCTGTCTCGCCTATAGTGGCAAGAAAATCTAAGAAAGTGGAGCCAAAACCACGAGACCCGCCCAGTGTAAATAAACTTATATTTTCTGAAACATCTCGACCAATCTCTCCCGTATTGCGAAAGAAAGCCCCGAATATTATACCAGATTATGGAATCAAAAAGACTTCAAGCACGCCTAAAATTGTACTTTCTCAAACTAGTAGACCAATTTCTCCGGTTGTAGAGAAGAAATATAAATGTTTAACTAGGGAGTCGGATAATGAAGATTTAGAAAAAACGCCCGTAAAACTGTTCTTTACAGAAAGTAGTCGTCCTGTATCACCGAAAATAGATCGTAAAGTTATTGTACCACCTCCTCCTCTTCCATGTAGGGAAAGAAGCGTTAGTCCTACTAAAATAGTGCTTACCGAAACCAGTCGTCCAATCTCTCCAATGGTTGACAAAAGGCACTTATCCCCAAAGTCCGTGTCGAGGGATAGTGGTAGTGTCCAGTTCTATGACAGTAGTCGTACTACGTCGCCCCATACAGAACGTCGTTATGCGTACAGTCCTTCTAGAGTATATTATCCAGACAGTGTTATATCATCATCATTTGAGAGTCGTAGTCGGGAGAGATCCGTAAGTCCTCCGGCGAAATTGTACTTTTCCGAAACCAGCAGACCCGTTTCGCCCCAAGTCGCTAGAAGGTCTTACGAAGAAATGCATATGCAAATGAAAACAAAAAAGGTGCCATCACGTGAAGAGGAGCTTTTGTTTTTCGAAGATAACGCAAGTATTGCTTCGAGTGGCTTACATTCCGAATGCAGGAGCTTCCCCTCTGATGTTTTCCACTCTCCCCAAAGGTGTAATAGGTTTAAAGAATTGAACAAGTTTTACTCTACACTAGAGCGAATGGGGGAATTGGAAAGAACCACTTCATCAAGTGAACTACGTCCTAGAGGTCGGCGAGAAGAAGAAATTATTGATTATGAGAGATGGAAAGAAGTGCATGCGCGTGAAAGAGCCGAAAAGGAGTTACAAACGGTGTACAATAAATTGAGACAGGATCAAAAGGAGAAGGGATTCTTATTTCGCCCCAAAGACGTCAAGTTATTTCGCTGGAAGCAAGAAGCTGATAGAGGCTTGCGCGTTAAAGACAAATCAGTGGAAGCAATTAAAACCAACTTTGAAAAATTGGCCAGCTCTCCTTCCACCGGCGCAGGAGTGCCGGATCAATTGATATTTCATAGAGATCTCTACAAACCACTATGGCGTGGCAGTTCCGTGGTAGATTTGGCGTCGAGCATGGTAGAAAGACGATCACAATCGGAGGGGCGAATAAGTACAATAAAAAAGAAGCTATCGGAGTCGGAAAGATTACTAACACACGGCATTGGTAGCAGAATATGGAGCAGTTTATCATCAGAACAGATAAACCTCTTAAAAGGTCAACTTTCGGAAATATATAACCAGAATAGCCAACAAAGGTTTCACGTTCCAGCAATTGAGTACGCTGTAAATGTACCTGTAAATCAACAAAAAAGTTACAAACCGTTTTTGCGAGTTAGACGTAATTCTAGCGACTCTGCGAAAAAGTTTCGGTCTGAAAGTCAACCGCCAAATTCGGTTTTGACGGAAAATGAGAAAAAAAGGCTATCTCAAAGTTTAGGTATTGAAGTTATGAACCGAGTATCACAGCGCCAAGATAGCAGAGCTTCACCTTCTTTGGTAAAAGGCAAAGAAACAAGAGGAGCGATAGCTGCTGCCGACGCAAAAATTATAGCTTCCACTTCGGAGCCATTTTCAGAAGATTCTTTGGAAAACCTTAACCAGGAAAAGCAAAATTCCAACGTAAATTCAATAGTATGTAAAAAAACGGGGAAAATGTCTAGTGACGAGGATCAAATAGTTGAAAAATTACCTAAACCTGCTTTAGTTTCAACGGATGTTACGAATCGTGTAACCTCAGTGAGTGAAACCGAAAGCGGTAGCACAGACGAGTCGACGAAAACTGTTATATACTTGGGAAATAAGGACGTTCAGAAAAAAGTGGAATATTTCGAACAGGTTGCAGAGGAACGTCCTTATACCCCAACAATCTATCGAGCGGCTGAGTCGCAAAATAATGACGACGAACTCCCAACTGACACGCAACAACATTCGGAAATAGATCATATCGAAGAGGTTCGCCCGTCGTGTAAGCTTGTTGCATCGCAATCCTATCAAGATTTAAAAGAATTATTCGGCGAACAAGAACAAAGTAAATACTGCGGTCTTAGTGCACGCCCTTTAAGTACGGAGGAAGTGAAAATCGGTAATAAAGAGAATGGTGCTGTAACAAATATTGAGGTGCGAAATTTAAAAAATAAATTTGAATTTATGGACGACTTTTCTAGTAATAGACTAACGGCATCATTTCCGAGACGTACGAGGAGTAATCCAGAACTTTATAGGAAACAAATCGTTATACCGGGACAAATCATGGGAGAAGTTGACACTTTAAGACGGAAATATGAGTATCCTTGGATTTTTAGTCGTGGAAGAAGTAGAGTGCGCAGAGGTGGTGTAGTGTCACCTATGTACTTTCGTGCTGAAGATCGCTACATGCCTCACATTAACATTATAAGCAAAATTGCCAGTTTATACCCGAAGAAAACCGTTTTTCTGTCTGACGTACGCCATAAATCAACCGAAGAGCTGACGAAACTTTTGGGCTGCCCTGTAGGGGAAGTGGAAAGGTTGCGAAAGAAGTTTGACTCGCCTGACCGCAACATATCCATCTTGGGACATATGTTTACTTCCTCCCCAAACATGCAGGAACTGCGAGATATTGCGCCGTATCTGACAGGATCGTGGACCGCACACAGGTATCCCAGAAAGGAAGATAACACGAGATCCTTGTCCTCCCCAGACAACCTAAATTCTTCCTGGGACACTTCTTCCGTTAAAAAAGTTAGCACCCGCCCTAAATCAACGTCTCCCCCGCGCACAATTGGCAAAAAAGTACCATCCCCAATATTAAAAGTACGCCGACCAGTCATTACTGAAAATGGATTCAAACGTGAAAAGGTCGATCCAAAAATGTACAATCCCGTTGGACGTTACCAACCGTGCACTACAAGAATCGAACCAGTAAGGTACAAAACTGCGTGGCCACATGCAGTCAAGCCCTCAGTAACTTTTAAAGGTGTTGTATTTTAACATATAAAAAACAGGAACACTGCACGTAGAAACCGACACCTTTTACTGTTTATAATGCACCTTAAATCAAACCGGCAGGTAAATTACTTAGAATAGTTCCATTCACACTTATTTGTTCTTGGCTGAGTATGATGCATCAATATTCTGCATGTTTAACGTTTGTTTTGTTTGTTAAAAAGCCTTGGTTTAGTCATCGTTTATCTTTTGCACTGTTGAATGTAGAGTTGCCGCCTCCCACTCCACCTCCGAAAGGACATCATGGGCTAGACTTTTTCGGAACAGGTACTGTACCATAAAATTAGTATTCCTTCTCATATTGTATGCCTATTATATAGTATAAGCGTTTACGATCGATTATATTCAGGTCATTACAAAAACGGAAATTTGCTCCATCGTTATAAACACGCGCAAAGGAAGTTGTCGATATCAGATAGATATTATGAACTTGACCTGAAAATTTTTAATTTCATTGCCTAGCCATTACTTGTCACGGCCCCTAATTACGATTCTTAATGTGAACGTCACTTGTTTTGTAGCAGACAGTTATTGCCTGCATTTAGCTTATTTACTGCATCAGTACACACGCAAAGTTGATGTAAGTACATATTCGAATGTGCGATTTTTGGTATGAAAGAGTCTCCTTTTGTCATTCTTTCTTTGATATATAATAGGAGATCTTCAAAATTCTGGAATTTTGATCAGATATATCATACAACATATTATTTTCCTTGCCCTCTTGCCTCCCCGTAACTTTTATAAGTCATCTTGATACCTTCAGAAGTTTCAGTGTAGCTAGCTAAATCTCTAAATGGACCAAATATTTTATTTTCTGTCATTACGGATTGATAGATATTAGCACCTCGGCAGGTTGCATACCAGCAAGGGGCGATGACTATAATCATTCTATAATGTATAGTTGATTTGCAGCAAAATCAAAAAGTATACATATACGAAAGAGTACTATGGTTTACTCTTTGCATATACTCTTTGTTTGCAGCTAAATATTTACAAACGAATACGACTCGGAAGTCGGAACGCGATTTCTTTTCCAAGTATTTTACATCTGATGGTTGTAGAGAAATTAATCAAATAGTTCGATTTTAATTTCTGTTAGTTTGAAAACGTGTCGCGCACTTTTTAAATCCATGATTACTCTGAGAAACTGTATAACTTTCCATTACAACAACTTATTCAGAAAATCTCCTATAAATGTTTTTCAAATTATCCTCTCATTAGCAGAAGAAGATTGTCACTGATTCTAATAGGTCAGTCAATTGAATACTTTTTAGTCGAGTTAGAGAAATCCGAGGAGAAATCACAGGACGAGTTACAAAACACTACCTACGCAATATTAAAAATGAATTCGGTACTCTTTTCAATAAACGGAACATGTAATTTAATTTAATTTAATTGTTACAAATACAAAAAAAAATTTCAAAATCCACTCGTGGGTGTTGCAGCATAACGCAAATACTGTAAATGATGAGCAACGGGCAAATATAGACCATATAGCAGCTTTCAATTAGCGAGAACCCAAAGTCTCTAGGTGCCCCAGGAGCCGAGAACTTCCGGTATTCAAAGGCTGCGATTTGTTACAAGTACCTACTGTTTATTAAAAATTTTTTATCACGTTTCGAATAATGCAAAAACCAAATATTTAGATAACATTTCTTATCTAGTTTTTTATTCTGCTTTCGATAACAATAAAATATACAGTGTGTTGCATAAACAAAAAGTTAAGGTCATTTCTAGCTAAACCGAAAGTTAAACAAGCTAAAAAGTAATCGTAAACGATTTACATAAAACGCATTTCCACTTGCATTCATTTCCCATTTGTAAGATGCAACTTCTATTAAAATCGTAAAAATCCGGCCACAAATATGAAAAATAGCGTTGCACATGGGCAATCCATTTTTGACGTGCTACTTCAATTTCAGTTTATGAGAAGAATTTCATTTCAATGCTTTTCTAAATAAGAAAGTTGGAACTGCGCATGCGCAAACCTAAATTTTGAAACTAATGTTAGATTTTCCTTTGTCCAAGCGCCTAAGTATCAAATTTCACTTAAATGCTTCCATAGTTGGCTATGCGCATGCGCAAAACCAAATTTTGAAACTTTTATTCCAAGTGTCTAAGTATCAAATTTCATTTAAATGCTTTTGTAAATAAGAAAGTTAACACTACACGAGTGCACAAAACCAAAATTTTAAATTGGCGTACATTTGGTTTTATTTCAAGTGCTTAAGAATCAAAAATTACCATTTAAATTCTTTCGCAAATAGAAATTCGGTTCACAAATGGTCGAGATACCAAAAGAGCACTCAACATTTGAAATTGCGTGTCGTGCGGCTAGAGCTTTGCTCATATTGAATTTCAAGCAATTCGGTTCATAAGTAACAAAGATGTCAAAAAGGTCTCTTTTTACCTACATTTCTCATTTACGAACTCCGATTTACATATTTGATAAAGAATCCACCTACAAAATTTCATCGTAATCGGTCCATTAGTTATCGAGATATCGTGCTAACAGACGAACGGATAGACGAACAGACACAACAAAATTATAAACTCGCTAGGAGTTGGTTAATAATGGAGGTAGACAATAGAATATTTCGGGACTTGTATCCTGTATATACACATCAATATTTATTCTCTCGCGCCATCTTGGAATAGGAATTTTGGGAATTAAAAAAAATTGAATAAGAAATCAATCTTAGGGACTTTTTATTGTAGCTTCCAAACGAAACATTTGCGACCCTTGGTTCATTTGAAAAAAATGTTTGTTTTGGTCCCCGTTATCATCCGATGTTTGGGCACAACTCAAATGTAGCTTTATAATAGGTATTGTATAATCTGCAGCAATTTACAAATGCTCGATGTACAGATGGTGTATTTGGCATTAGCATTTCATTATTTTCTTCGACAAGGTAGTACATAATTGTACCTTGTATCATTCTTGAAATCATTTGATTTATTTTGGACTGTAAAATAGATAATGCCTGGTCGACATAGGATAGGCAGTTGCAATGATGAATACGTGTGTTACAAGGATTTCATTCCTCTACTTACACGGGGATACAGTCGTTCGCAGACTGGTATCTCGGATACACCTTACAATGGAGTCGTTTCAAACTGGTATCTCGGATACACCTTACAATGGAGTCGTTTACACACGCATACTTCCCGCATACAGTATCAGCGACTAAAATTTCGCTCTCTCGCTAGTCCCACTCGCTCTTTGATTTTACGACTTTGGGGGACTGATGGGCTATTAGGTAATATTATGGAACTGTTCACACGAGGATACTGTTTCATTAGCAACCGGTCAGCACTGTTCGTCACTTTCGCCCGAAGAGACCAAATAGTCATAAGATGGAGCGCACATTTGACGACGAATCCTTCGTTTCTTCCGTTTATGTTTACACATTAGGGTGTATAGTAAAAGGGCGTCTTTAACGCCCATTACCAAGTGTGACTGTACAGAGAACCTCCCGCCACTGCATTGAAAATACTTCGCCGAAATAGTGCCTCACTGCGCCAGAGCAATTTAAAATGCCCAAAGTCTGCGAAGTGTATCGGATACGAATTCTGACGACAGACTGTATGTCGCATACAGTATTTTCGTGTAAAAGAGCTCGTATTCCTTATAGCCGATTCACATTAAGGTGGCGCTTACATTGAAAAATTGAAATTTTGTTTCCACAGTAACTGCTTTTTAGGTCAAAATTTTTGGTCAAAATAACATTCATTCAAAAACTTTTTTCAATATCTAGTTTTTAGCGCCGTGACGCCATACAACTTTTTTCTCAAATAAAAAAGCAATATTTTTATTAAATTATTCGAAAGACTTCCTTTTTTTGTGTAATACAACAAAATCATGCTACGTTTTATTATAAAAAAAGAAGAGAAAAAAATGTCAAAGTTAAAAAACTATCTAGCAACTTAGTGTGCGCTTATTATTTAGGATGAGCGATTACAGAAGTTCGGTCGTTGCATTTTTGGTTTTAATGCAAAGAACTTAAGATAAAATATCAATACCTATGTTAAAATATCAGTGTACCTGTATATACAGGGTCATTCTTGACGAGCGTCATATAGAAAGATATGGAAAACCTTTGAAAATGAAGATAAACTGATAATTCGGTTTCTACGTCGAATAGTAGCTCTCAACTTTTATACTTTTAAATATCCGTAACTCCATTTTTTCAAATGGCACCCTCCATTTTGTTCTTCACCGTTGTTTTCCTTTTTCCCAGACCTTTAATTTGATACAAAATGTCAAAAGCTGCTTCAAACGGTTTCCGAGATATTCCATGTTTTAGTTACTTCTTGTGGCAAATTGATAAAAAAATCAAGTCGCTTGATGTTATTCTTTTGTTTTTATTATCATAATGTTTAAATGTCAAATTTTCGCTGCTTGAACTTATACTTCTCATCAATAATGGCTCGTTTGGGTTACACTAATGAAGATTTTTTGAATTTAATATTACTACACGGTAAATGGAATCGAATAGCTGCCAGGACTTGCCGTCTTTTTTCCGAAAGATACCCTCACAAGGCGCAACCCACAGAGGCTACAAATCGCAAATTACTACAAAATTACAGGACCCACTTCTGCCGTTTTAAACTACTTCTAGGGGAATGGTCCTAGAGTCCTGGAATTTTTTGCAGTAGGTAGTCTATACCTTGAAGGTGTGCCAGACAATAGGATTCAAAATGCGCGGCGGATTTATAAAAGTTGGAATCAAAACAATTGTGCCACGCTATGATAAGTGTCTCAATCTGAATGGCACTTATGTTGATAAATAGCCCAAGGGTGTAGCCCCCAAATGTATGCAATAATAGATTTTCTTACAAGTTTAAAATTTTTTATTTCAAAACGTCTGCTACTTTCTGGACAACCCTCGTATATGTCCCCTGTTGTTTTAGATGATGGAAAGAGTCTTCTTTGTCAATCTATGGTGGTGTGTAAATTTGAGCAAAATCTTCAATCTTCATTTTCCCACATAGGTGCATTAATGTTTTTTTTATCTAATACAACACGGTTCTCTGAACTGAAATTTTTACATAATACCTACACTTATGTTGAATTAACAGTTTACAATACGAAAGCAACAGCTTGCACTTCTTTTAGTAAGGTGACACGTTCAACGCAGTCAATCAAAAATTATATTCCAAAATCAATAACAAAATCCCTGCTGAAGGCCAACTTTGATGTTGTCTTCGTATTTCCTGTTATACTCATTTATGCATTGGTACGTGGGATAAATCTATTTGCATAC